TCAGTTCGGAGCCGCGCGCTCCTCGCATGCATTCTCACAAGCACACCTCCCAGCAGCCCCGGAAGGTAGGTACCGTGATCCCCGCGGCGGGACGCGGGCTCGGACAGGTCCCAGCCCGCAAGTGACGAAGCCGCGGGCCCCGGCGCTGGCCTCTGAGGCGGCTGCCCGTCCGCCACGCGCCCGCCCCCGCCCGCTGGCCGTTGCTTTTACCCGTAAAGTGCCACGCAGGGTTCAGCCCTCGGCCATCCCTGGACGGGCTCAGGCGGGGGCTGCCTAGGCGCCGAATGGTGTGGAGTTCTGGGTTTACTCCCGCACCTCGGTGTTTCCACCAAAGCTAAAAGAGATCGCTATGTATTTAGCATTTCCTGAATACCTCTGTTACAAGAATGTTCACTTTTTCTTATTTTATTTTTAACTTTAGTATAGAAACGAGGTCTCGCTATGTTGCCCAGGCTGGTCTCGAACTCGTGGGATCAAGCGATCTTCTCGCCTCAGCCTCCCCAAGTGTTGGGATTACAGGCGTGAGCCACCAAACCCGACAGTGTTCTTTTTTTTTTTTTTTTTTTTTTTGAGTCGGAGTCTGTCGCCCAGACTGGAGTGCAGTGGCACGCTCACGACCACCGCAGCCTCGACCAGCTGGGCTCAGGCGATCCTTCCTCCTCAGCCTTCCGAGTAGCTGAAACTACAGGCGCGTGCCACCACGCTCAGCTAATTATTTGATTTATTGTAGAGATGAGGGTCTCACCAAGTTGTCCAGGCGGGTCTCGAACCCGTGGGCTCCCAAAGTGCTGGGATTATAGGCATGAGCCTCCGCACCCGGCCGACAATGTTCACTTTTAACGAAGAATTTTTCTGTTAGTTGTGATACCTTTTTGTATCTACTCTTCATAAACTTGCAAAAGTCTCATACTGTTATATGAGATTGTTCATTCAGCATCTCTCAAGGCTTAGAAGGATCATTTGTAAAATGAATGATGTCTGTCTCAAGATAATACGTGTTGTTTATCTTTTCTTTTTTTTTTTTTTGAGTGCAGCCTTGACCCGCTGGGCTCCGGCGATCCTTCCGCCTCAGCCTTCCGAGTAGCCGGAATTACAGGCATGTGCTACCACGCCCGGCTGATTTTTTGATTTATTGTAGAGATGAGGTCTTGCTGCCCAGGTGGGTCTCGAACCGGCGGGCTCAGGCAATCCACTCACCTCAGCCTCCCAAAGGCACGGGATTACAGGCTGAGCCACCGAGCCCGGCTATCTTTTCATTACAGAAAATTTCCAGCATACTTTAAAAATAGAATGGTGTAAAGGTCACCCGCCTTCAAGAGTTACCAACTCCACGCATGTGATCCAGTTAAAAAAAAAAAAAAAGTGGTCAGGCATGGTGGCTCAGGTCTGTAATCCCAGCACTTTGGGAGGCTGAGGCAGGAGTATCGCTGGAGCCCAGGAGTTTTAGACAAGCTTAGGCAACATAAGGAGACCTCATCTCTACAAAAAGAAAAAAATAAACCAAGCGTAGTGACACACACCTGTAGTCCCAGCTACTCAGGAGGCTGAGGCAGAAGGATTACCTGAATCCAAGTGGTCAAGGCTATGGTGAGTTGTGATTGTGCCACTGCAGTCCAGCCTGGGCAACAGTGAGACTTCAACTCGAAAGGAAAGTTACCAACTCAAGGCCGATCTTATTTCTTTTATCTCCACCCCACCTTGTGTATGTGCATGTGTGTGTCAGTGTGTCCACTGAAGTACAGGATTTCAAAGGAAATCTCAAACATCATTTCACCTTAAATAAGTCTGTGTCTCTCACAAATGAGGGCTTTTAAAAAACACAGCCACAATACCATTGTCACACCTGTTTAACGATCGTTCCTTATGATGATGATGCCTTTTTAATGTTTACATTTTTTAGGATATTGTAATTCCTAAGCACCACACAGGAGCAAGTGAAAACTGAGGTTCTAAAACACAGGAAGCCGGGCTCGGTGGCTCAGCCTGTAATTCCGCGCCTTGGGAGGCTGAGGTGAGTGGATTTCCTGAGCCCGTGGGTTCAAGACCCGCCTGGGCAACTTGGTGAGACCTCATCTCTATAATAAATCAAAAAATCAGCCGGGCATGGTAGCGCGTGCCTGTAATTCTGACTACTCGGAAGGCTGAGGCAGAAGGATCGCCGGAGCCCGGTGGGTTGAGGCTGCAGTGGCCGGGAGCAGCCACTGCACTCCAGTCTGGGCGACAGAGTAAGACTCCAACTCAAAAAAAATAAATAAAACACAGGAAAGCCTCTTGGGTGGTAAGTTTATCTTTGAGGATCTTGAAAATTCTTGCTTCCTCTGCTGCTTCATAAGTAGATTGTCATAAAAATTATTTTGTTCAGAACAGATAAATTTTACATCAAAATAGAATGGCATAGTCAACTAGAAATGGATTCTTAACATGTCCTGCAATGATGTTTTTTATTTTGAGTTGGACTATCACTCTGTCACCCAGGTTGGAGTGCAGTGGCACAATCACAACTCACCACAGCCTCGACCTCCTGAACTCAAACAGTCCTGCATCTGGCAAAGATTTTATTTTTATAGAGACGAGGTCTGCTGTGTTGCCCAGGCTGGTCTCAAATTCCTGGGATCAAGCAGTCCTCTTGCCACAGCCTCTCAAATTGCTGAGTCTATAGTCATAAGCCACCATGCCTGGCTTAGAAATACATTTTACAACTAGTTCATCTTGGTAGATTCACAAGAAAACTAGTGCATTAAGTAGATAGATTTTCTTGGCTTACTTAATGTGTGTGTGTGTGTGTGTGTGTGTGTGTGTTTTTCAAGACAGAGTCTTACTATGTTGTTTACGCTGGAGAGCAGTGGTGTGATCATAGCTCACCATAACCTCAACTCCTGAGACCAGCAGTCCTCTCATTTCAGCCTTCTCAGTAGCTAGGATTATGGACACAAACCACAACACCTGACTAGTATTTTTATTTTTTAATTTGTAGAGATGGGGTCTCATTATGTTGCCCAGGCTTTGCAATTTTTTTTTTTTAATGACCCGGAGTGGGCATTTGGACTTTAATGTGTATCTGCAAATTATTTCAGCCACATTCTGTGGCACAGGGCTTTGAAAACTTTGGGGATCACCTGTCTTGGAGATAAATTTTTTTTGTTTTTGAGTTAGAGTCTCACTCTGTTGTTGCCCAGGCTGGGGTGCAGTGGCACACTCACAGCCAGCACAGCCTCGACCTGCTGGGCTCAGGTGACCCTTCCGCCTCAGCCCTCCAAGTAGCCAGAACTACAGACATGCGCCACCATGCCTGGCTAATTTTTTTTTTAATTATTATTTATTTATTTATTTTTCTATTGTGGGGTACAGTTAAGGGTTGGGTATACAAATATGCTCCGTTCAGGCACCCTTGTTGATAAGAGGTGTCTCCCCGATGGCTAATTTTTTAATTTACTGTAGAGATAAGGTCTCATCAAATTTCCCAGGCTAGTCTCACACCCATGGTCTCAGGCAGCCCTCTCACCTTGGCCTCCCAAAGTGCTGGGATTATAAGTATGAGCCACCACGCCTGGCCTAGAATTTTTTTCTAAGGCATATTTGAGTCTACTTGTGGATTATACCTTTACTCATTGCTAAGGAGAGAGAGAGAAAAGGCATGGCTTTCATTTTTAGACCTCTCAGCTTTTTTTTTTTTTTTTTTTTTTTGAGTCAGAGTCTTATTCTGTTGCTCAGGCTGGAGTGCAGTGGCATGCTCACAGCTACCGCTGGGTTCAGGCAATCCTTCTGCCTCAACCCAGCCATTCCTCTCCGCTTTCATAGGAGGCCGTCATCAACTCAGAAAACTTAGAAAATGTAAATGCCTGTTACAACATTTGGACTGTTCACTTGGCAACCCAGAATATCTGCAAACTAAAGATTGAAGGATTTGTTTTTATTTCCCTAAATCTTACTACTTACTAGTGTGTTTCAGGATCTTCCAGACAACTTTGTTTCATATTCTTTTGTCCTACTTCTGAAAATTATTTAATTAGTTCTAAGGTAGTGCAGGGACATGTATACTTTCAAAATGGTTCCCAGTGATTGTGATGAGCATCCCTTATTATAGATCACTGTTGTAGTTACTATTCATAAGAATCTTGGCCAGGCATGGTGATTCACACCTGTAATCTTAGTACTCTGGGAGGCTGGTGCAGGAGCATTACTTGGATTGAATACCAGCCAAGGTAGGATAGCAAGATCTCAGCTCTACAAAAAATCAAAAAAATTATCTAGGCATGGTTGCATGTGCCTGTAGTCCCAGCTACTCGGGAGGCTGAGGTGGAATAATCATCTGAGTCCAGGGGTCAAGGCTATGGTATGCCAGGATCATGCAACTGCAATCCAGCCTAGGCGATAGAGTGAGGCCGAGAATCAAAAAGAAAGAAAGAAAAGGAAAAAAAAAGTTATCCAAAATATTTAATTTAGATGCAGATTTAGAGAATCAGAATTTCTAGGGTTAATGCCCAGGGATCTGCATTTTAGCAAGGGACTCAGATCTGATTCTTCCTCTATTTACCAGGGAATCACTGTCTTCTACATCCTGTCCGTGGGCTAAGCCAAACCTTAGGAATGCTGACTACTTTTATTGTGGTGTTTTGGCTTCTTACTTGACTGCTTTTACTGAGGGGTATTAGATGAAAAAACATCATGAAGTTTCTAATTGTAGTTGAGGGTGTCCTTATATGAGAAGAATTTTTCTGAAGTCTCACTAATTAGAATAGTTGTGTTTTCATATGGACCACAGGAATCATGATAGTATGTTATACTTTATTTAGCAGCAGGGAAGCTCTGAGCTAAATTTGTAGCCTACCTTTGTGTCAAGGGTGGTTTAATGAGAATTAAAGACCCGTTTAAATTATCTAAGTTGGAGTCAAAGCTGCTCAAGGGTCAAATAGTTTTAGAGACCTGTTTAATTTTTAATTATTAAAAAGAATTAGCATGTTCTCTCTCATAAGTGGGAACTAAATAATGTGCTCACGTGGATGTAGAGAGTGAATGCGGAGACTAGAAGGGTGGGTTGGATGATGAGAAATTACTTAATGGATTCAATGTATGTTATTTGGGTGATGGATACCCTAAAAGCCCTCACTTCACCACTACACAATGTGTGCCTGTAACAAAATTGCACTTGTACCCCATAAATTTATACATTTTTTTTTTTTTTTTTTTTTTTAGTTGGAGTCTTACCCCGTTGCCCAGGCTGGAGTGCAGTGGCACGCTCGCGGCCACCCGAGCATCGACCTGCTGGGCTCTGGTGATCCTTCTGCATCAGCCTTCCAGGTAGCTAGAACTACAGGTGTGTGCTACCTCACCCACCTAATTTTTTTATATGTTTACTATGGAGATGAGGTCTCACCAAGTTGCCTAGGCTGGTCTTGCATCCCCTGACTCAGGCAATCTACTCGCCTCGGCTTCCCAAAGTGCTGAAATTACAGGCTGAGCCACTGAGCCCGACCTATACAAATTTTTTTTAAAAGAACTAGCTACCATCCCCAAATCTGTCCTTCCCTATTTAGTGAATTACTCTTTTTTCTATTCAGTTCTTAACTGAAGGTCTACATATATCTTTAGGGCCGAATGGAAGGAGGTGGTGATAGTGAGATATATACCCTTTCTGGGGATACAAAATATACCAGACTTGTTTGTAACATACATTATTGAAAATAAGCCATGACTGCAATTTGCCAATAAAGGACTTATGGGTATTCATAACTTGCCTAAGCCCAGATCTCCCACATATAACTTGCTGGCAAGTTATTTTTTCCCAGGACGTTAGGTATGAGTCACTAGTTTTAGGCTGAACTGTCATCTTGTCGTGGCTTACTTCGAATTGATATGTTGCAGGATCTATCTTGACATATACAGGATAGCATATGATGACAGAATAGCATGTGATGTGGCTTTGTTTTAATTTGGTTAGCCACTGATGTTTAATGTGTGGGTTATATTTTACTCCCAAAGCAAAATTCCGTGGCATCTCTGGAATACTACCTGAAAATTTTTGTGTGCCATGTCGAAGAAACGCAAATGGGATGATGACTATGTACGTTACTGGTTCACCTGTACAACAGAAGTTGATGGAACTCAACGCCCACAGTGTGTATTGTGTAACTCAGTATTTTCAAATGCTGACCTCAGACCATCAAAACTGTCCGACCATTTTAACAGACAGCACGGTGGTGTAGCTGGGCATGATCTCAGTAGCCTGAAGCATATGCCAATATCATCTGGTAAGAGTGAAACCTTGAAAGCCTTTGGAGTTGCATCTCATGAGGATGCCTTATTACAAGCATCATATCAATTTGCATATTTATGTGCCAAAGAGAAGAATCCTCATACAATAGCTGAAAAATTAGTGAAACCATGTGCACTGGAAATAGCACAAATAGTTTTGGGACCAGATGCACAAAAGAAGCTTCAGCAGGTACCCTTATCAGATGATGTGATCCATTCTAGGATTGATGAAATGAGCCAGGATATCTTACAGCAAGTTCTAGAAGATATCAAAGCCAGTCCTCTTAAAGTGGGTATTCAGCTTGCTGAGACAACTGACATGGACGACTGCAGTCAGCTGATGGCATTTGTGCGATATATAAAAGAAAGAGAGATTGTGGAAGAATTCCTATTCTGTGAACCATTGCAATTAACCATGGATGTGAAAGGAATGGATGTGTTCAGGCTCTTTAGAGACTTCTTTTTGAAGCATAAGATAGCACTTGATATATGTGGTTCCATTTGTACTGATGGTGCCTCCTCTATACTAGGAGAAAATTCAGAGTTTGTTGCCTGTGTGAAAAAAGAGTTACCTCATATTGTGATCACACATTGTTTGCTGAACCCTCATGCACTTGTCATAAAGACATTGCCTACAAAATTGAGGGACGCTCTGTTTACTGTGGTGAGGGTAATAAATTTCATCAAAGGGCGAGCTCCAAATCATCGCCTGTTTCAGGCTTTCTTTGAAGAAATTGGTGTAGAATATAGTGTCCTCCTTTTCCATACTGAAATGAGATGGCTTTCCCGAGGCCAAATACTTACTCATATTTTTGAAATGTATGAAGAAATAAATCAATTTCTTCACCACCAAAGCAGTAATTTAGTTGATGGCTTTGAAAATAAAGAGTTTAAAATTCACCTAGCATATCTTGCTGATTTATTCAAACACCTAAATGAACTTAGTGCATCTATGCAAAGGACTGGGATGAACACGGTATCAGCTAGAGAGAAGTTATCTGCTTTTGTTAGGAAGTTTCCATTTTGGCAAAAACGAATTGAGAAAAGAAATTTTACCAACTTTCCTTTTCTTGAAGAAATAGTTGTTTCAAATAATGAAGGAATATTCATTGCAGCTGAAATAACACTGCATCTGCAACAGTTGAGCAACTTCTTCCATGGATATTTTTCTGTTGGTGATCTTGATGAGGCAAGTAAATGGATACTGGATCCATTTCTTTTTAATCTTGATTTTGTCGATGATAGTTATTTAATGAAAAATGATCTTGCTGAATTACGAGCTAGTGGCCAAATCCTAATGGAATTTGAAACAATGAAGCTTGAGGATTTCTGGTGTGCTCAATACACAGTGTTTCCAAACCTGGCAAAGACAGCTCTAGAAATCCTTATGCCATTTGCAACTACATACCTTTGTGAGTTGGGATTTTCATCACTTTTACATTTTAAAACAAAGTCCAGGAGCTTCTTTAATCTGAGTAATGACATTCGTGTGGCTATTTCAAAAAAAGTCCCTCGTTTCTCAGACATCATTGAACATAAGCTACAGCAGAAGTCACTGTAAGCTGATACACTTTTAAAATATATTCTTAATATCATTGTAAATTAAGGTGCAGTTCTGTTTCTTTCCTTTTATATTTATGATATACTGAATTCTATGTTTAAAAAATTTAGCAACCTTAACTTTTAATGAGGCATGTGAAAATGTGTTTTGAGAATAAGAAAAACACAAACAGCAGAAAAGATCAAGTACGGTCGCCTAGTTGATAAATAAGATTTTTATAATTCTGAGTATCTGTTTAACCTGTCATGATACATAAAAAAGATACTCATTCACTAGGCTATCCAGCTAAATGGTACAATAGGCTAGGAATTGAGCCAAGAGAATAGAGAAGACTTCCCAGAAGTCAAAGGACAAAATGAGACTTAGTCCTCCCATCTTTGTGAGGGTTGCTATGGAGAGGTTACTGAAATCAGAAGAGGATTATGAATTATAATGGGAAAAAGAATGATCTAGCTTATATAAGATTTATTTTAAAATGTACTTTTTGGAGTTAGTCTCACAATGCTCATTCCCCTAGCTCCCATGCTCTAAATATTATGATATTAATAAATATCCTAATAGTCTATTAGTCTTTGTCTTCTTTTAAATTACTTCAGGACTTCAAGTCATCAAGACTGCTGAAAAGGAGATTCCTGAGCCTTACCCTAGAGATTTTGATTTAGCAGGTCAGCAATAAGGTCAAGGATCCTCATTCTTAATCCAGCTTTTCAGATAGTTCCGATGGATTCGTCTGGCTTCATCTGATTTTTCCTATACTTATTTTTCCTTTACCCTAATTTTCTCCTATTTTACATCTTATGCTATATGTACTTTTCTAAGTTCAAAATTTTTGGCCGGGCTCGGTGGCTCAGTCTGTAATCCCAGCACTTTGGGAGGCTGAGGCGAGTGGATTGCCTGAGCCCTTGGGTTCAAGACCAGCCTGGGCAACTTGGCACAACCTTGTCTCTACAAGAAATTAAAAATTAGCCGGGTGTGGTAGCACGTGCCTGTAGTTCCAGCTACTTGGAAGGCTGAGGTGTAAGGATTGCCAGAGCCCAGTAGGTCAACACGGGATGACTGAGCATGCCACTGCACTCCAGCCTGGGCAGTGGAGTGAGACTCCAACTCAAAAAAATTTTTTTTTTAGTTTGCCAGAATATAAATTAAGTAAATTGATATGAAGTCACTAGGGTAATTTAGGGCCATCAAAAAATTCCCATATGAATCTAAATTAGTGCACTTTTTCTTGATGATAATTTGGCAAAATATATTTTTAAATTTAAATAAATTTAAATTTTTATTTTAAAACTTTAATGTTTGATCAAAGTACTACATGCTCAAGATGGAGGGGACGGGGGCAATGGTATAGATGGCCCTGTAAGGAAAAGCCACAGTCTCCTTCCTGCCCAAATACCTTAACCATTTCTACTGTAACTTCTTATGGTTCTACCCATATCCCCAAGTAATAGATAAGCACATGTGGCAGTTTTGATTTATCAGCTTTAGAAGTCATATATTGACTCTTCTAGATAATAAAGATTGAATTTCGAATGCATCCATCTCTACTACTACTCTTGATTTTGTATTGTTGTAACACTAATTTTAATTTCTTTATTGGTTATTCATAGCTCATGTAACTGAAAGGTTAAAATGAGATTTCTTCCCCTAGAGATTTATTATGTGGAATCAGAGATGTTGGAAAATTTTACTTATAAGGTGAGTAATCATAACATTTTTGTAGTACTGAAAAATTGAAAAAAAAAACCTTAAGGGAAATGAAACTTGACTATCAGATTTAGATACCACTTAAATATTGCAAATCAAAATTTATATTTTATCAGTAAATATAAATACATGTCTTTTTTCACTTAAAAGCATAGTGATGAAATATAGGTCTTAGGTCTTAATTTTTTAAAATTATAATCTAACATTAAGAGCAGGAAGAAGAATTTCCAAAGCTAATATTGGGACAAATCTAAATGTATGGATAAAGTTTAATTTGGGCTGGGCATGGTGGCTCACACCTGTAATCCCAGCACTTTGAGAGGTCTAGGTGGGAGGGTTGCTTGAGCCCAGGAGTTCGAGAACAGCCTGGGCAACACAGCAAGACTTCATCTCTACCAAAAAACCAAAAAATTAGCCAGGTGGTATGCACCCACAGTCTCAGCTACCCTAGAGGCTGAGATGGAAGGATCGATCACCGGGGGCTCAGGTGATCGGGACTGCAGTGAGCTGTGATGGTGCCACTGCACTGCAGCCTGGGTGACAGAGTGAGACCCCGATTTTTTTTTTTTTTTTTGAGTTGGAGTCTCTGTCATCCAAACTGGAGTGTAGTGACACGCTCCTGGCCACCGCAGCCTCCACCTGCTGGACTCCGGCGATCTTTCACCTCATCCTTCCAAGTAGCCGGAACTACCGGCATGTGCTACCACACCCGGCTAATTTTTTTTTAATTTATTGTAGAGACGAGGTCTTGCCAAGTTGCCAAGGTGGGTCTTGAACCCACATCCTCTGGCAATCCACTCGCCTCGGCCTCCCAAAGTGCTGGGATTACAGGCTGAGCCACCAACCCCGGCCGAGACCCCAGTTTTAAAAA